GGGGGTGGGGGTAATGTTGTTGGTATACAGTTTGGTTTGGTCCGCTAGTTGAAAAGTAAAAGTAGAGTTCAACCTTGAAACACAAATATATTATTTACTAAGTCAACAGAGTCATTTTCAATGCGTATATATTGTATATACAAGTGTGTATATTTACGATACGCAATGAATGCGTCACAGCCGTAGGCCCAGTGGTCAGAGATTGGCTGAGGGCTAGGTCAAACTTACGCATATTTTATTCCAGGCTTTCCGGGCCAGGACATTCCTCAAGTCTTGATGTTCTTGTCATAGTTTTCCTGGTCTAGGTTGAATGTCAAAAGAAGTCCGACAGTTTGAATAAAATCCTATTGTAATATGAAATGTTTGTATTTTAAAGGAAAGTCGCCATTCCTAATTTTTAAAAATCCGCCATTTTCTCTAACTGGGTCCGCCATTTTGAACTGATAAAATCCGCCATATTTTTTGCGCATTTTTAATGGGTTTTGTGTTCAGGGCTAAGGTACACTGGAACTGCAGGGACATCAACAACATGCTGAAGGGATACAAGATGGATCTGGCAGCAGCTGTTGGTAGCAAACTTCCTGCTGCTCTTCTTAACTTCTATTTCAAGCACTCATTCCTACGAAAGGTAACATTTTTTAACTAATAGTTCCTTTTATCCCTGTGTCCTGCATTGAGAGCCTGTCCCCTGTGTTTTTTTTTTAATTTCAGACTTTAAAATTAATTTTTAAACATAATTATATCCACTTACAGCTCTAAAATGTATTAATAATTGGGAAAACGCTAAAAAAGGTTATTTTATCGCAAATGTCGTCTTCCTTTCAAACTATCAATTTCTTTCTTCGAGAGATAGATAATTTCTAATGCCCAACCAAAATACAAAAATTAATAGCGAAAAGTTTCGAAACATTGCTTTTGAATTCTAAAAGTGTGATGAAATTCATGACATCGGCATATGAGAGATTTAAACTCAATTTTTTAATCTTTATATTTCATTTGTTCTTGAATTGGAATTGAATAGTTAAATTTGTAGTATTAAGAAAAATATGTAATTGCAATCAATTATGTTATCAGTTGATATTTTTACTTAAATTGTAAATTGATAAGAGATAGGATACACTTAGTCATACAATTTAATATTTATCCTAGAATTAATTTGACAGCCGGATGAATAATAAAAAAATTCTAGTCAGATGATCTTGTTTTTTTGTGGTATATGACATGGCCCCCAGGGGTTGATACACCTGATCAGGATGCAAAAATGTCAACAACAAACTAATTATTCTCACTTCTATGAATATATCTATATATCTACCTATCTATCTATATATCTACCTTTCTATCTAACTATCTATATATCTATCTACATAACAATCTATCTATCCAGGGATTGAGGAGGGTAAAGGCCCAGGGATTCGGCGCCAGCACCAACGAGGAGATGGACACTATGGGGAAGGGAGACATCAAGGTTCTCTCCGACCTACTAGGGGAGAAGAAGTTTATGTTTGGAGATGAACCTTCTCTACTTGACCTTATCGTATTCAGTCACCTAGCTCCGGTTAGTAATCCTTTCATAACAAGATTTGTCAGGTGTATTTTTTTGAGATGGAACATTTTTCTAAATTTTAAAATATTTTTGCCATTTTTTAAATTGGTTTCTGATTACAAGATATGAGATTTCTTGACTTCCACAAAATTGAACGAGATAGAAGGCAAAAATGAAGAAGAAAAAAACTTATTGGTTCAACTTTCCTCGGATCCTATTATTAAAGCCACAGAAACCTTTGTACGAATTAAATAAATTCAAGCTCCGTCTTAAATCGTATATTAAAAAAAAAAATTGGAATTAACCTTTTATTTACTGTTATTTGTTTCAAGACACTATTCTTGAATTTACAAAATAAACCTGGAAGACGAAAAAGAAACAAAAAGTGAACATTTCATGAAATTAATATTTTGTTTTTTAAATTAAGAATTTTTTTAAATTAGAAATTTAAATATTCCTGTGTTTAGATGTTGGGGAGAGCACTGGGCCAACGCTACCGGAGAAGAGATGGATTTGAACCCTCATATCCCAAAGGTAAATTTAAAAATGCAATTTGACCCTGTCATCAGTTAACCTTCAAGAAATCCCTCGAAGGTTTCCGCAAACTAAATCTTGTTCGGACATTAATAAATTTTGTCAAGCTAAAAAAAATAGAAAAATATAATTTTGATATTACTTAATAGTAGTAGCACACCAGTCAGTGGTTTAGAAAAAACTATTTTTTGCTATAAAGAAATTTGTTATTTTATCTCGTGGAAAATAATGTTTTCTTTATCAATCATCATTCCGTCTACAATTCCTTTAAAGCAGTGCTTAGGATCCATTTAAAATTGATCCGGATCCAAGCATAAATTTCAAATTTTTTGCCTTATTATATTTTTATGCTAAAACTTGATAAACCATTCAGAAATCAGGAAATGTTGATAATCTCACTTTTTTCAATAGTTCAGATTTTGACTTTAAGAGTAAATTTTTTAGAATTTTTGGTTGTTATTTTATCCTTTAGATCCGGATCAGGATCCAGGAAGCCAAATCTTGCGGATCCAGCAGATCCGGATTCTAAGCACTGCTTTAAAGTTGAGAAATGACACTCATCAAAATAGTTAACAGGCCCTTTGATTTCATTTTCTAGCTTAGATTTCTCTCAGCCTTCATTTATACTTTTCTCTTTTCGTTCGAAGATTATCAAACTTCGACAGGAAAATATTTTTATTTTCTTTTTTAAAACTTTTGTTTTCTCATCTACTTTTCCTTCCACAATGGAAATGTTATAGAATAAACCTGTATTAAAAACCTTTCACGCTTAAATTTTCTTCATTTTTTCATTCTTTTTAATTCAGTGCTTAGCATCCGGCCGGATCTGTTGGATTCGTAAGATTTTGGCTTCCTGGATCCGGATCCAAGGGGATCAACCAAAAACTGCAAAATAAAAACTTTTTTATTCTCAACCCATTTCTAAACTATTTAATAAAGAGATATTAATAAAGTTTCCTGATTTCTGAATGGTCATCAAGTTTTAGCATAGAAATATAATAAGACAAAAATAAGACAACAAATTTGAAAATTCTGCTTTGTTAAAAAAATTCAGTAAATCTTAAAGAAATTACCTGGATCCGGATCCATTTTTTTCCAGTGCCGATCCAGGATCCGGATCCGCATCAAAATTAAATGGATCCTAAGCACTACAGTAATTTCTTTTATATTTCTAACATGTTTATCTCTTCATATAATGAAATTAAATTCTGACTTAACATAGGACAGTTATCATTTAAATACTTCATTGGTAAATCTAAGTGTATGCATCAAAATTAAATGGATCCTAAGCACTGGTTTTTATGAAATGTTTCAACAAAAAAAAATTCGTTGGACAAGAAAAACCATTTATCATTGATTAATGTGGTTTTTTAAATTAATATTTTTACAGCCTGTCCCTGCTGAGCCCGAGAAGGTTGAGGAGAAGGTTGAAGAGAAGAAGAAGGAGGAGAAGTCCAGCGAGAAGGAGGAGAAGAAGGAGGACGAGAAGGAGAAGGCAGATGAGAAGAAGGAGGAAAAGGACAAAGAAGAAAAGGTGAATATTTTATTCTCGTTTCAAATTATTCCGGAGGATTTTTTCGTTCAAAAAATATTCTCCCCTTCTTGAAAAATCATTTTAAAATGAGGGTTGGGGGATTGAAAATCATATTAACATGGGGGGGGGGGAATTAAAAATCACAATTGGATACTTTTTATCCATTTATTTATTTTCACATTAAGTTCCGTAGTTTAGTAAATAGCCTCTTATTTTTCTACGTTAACAACCCTAATATCGAGGGCTGGGGTGGTTATTTTAGAAAATATAGAAATACCCCTGTTAACCCTAAAGTTGGTGTATTTTTAACAATCTTACTGTTTCCACGCTGCCAGGATTCCAAGGAAAAAACTAAAGAATCTGAAAAGGAAAAAGAGGTAGAGGAATCAAAGGTTTGCATCCCCCATTAACAAAAACTTTTATTTTTGTTAATTTTGTTGCCCCTTCATTTTCTCCTCGACCATAATATATTTTTAATATTTCTAATGAATCATTAACAATCTCTAACAAGATGAAAAATAATAGATTTTTCTATTTTAGGAAGAGAAAAAGTAGAAAACTGACGACACCGGAATATTTTAATAATTTTATTCAAGTTGTTTTACATAAAATTATGATCTGTACAAATCTGTATCAATAGTTCTACAACATAATCAAACGGTGATTAGATATAATATTAGAGCACAAACCATTTCGGTGCACGAACGAGCCCGCCCCCACCTCCTCCATTTTGTTTCAGCTGAATTTCCCGCCATATTTTCCCGTCAGTTTCCCATGTTTTTAAATTACTTTATTAATGGCGCCGCGTTGTCAATGTTCGTGCACCGTTGTTTGAGAAGCCAAAAACCGAAAATTAGGAACTCCAAAGGTCCGTTATAGGTGTCTTTCAGACTTTGCTACGTTTTTAAAAATAAATGGAAAAGTTCAAAGATCCTTCCGACGGGGCTGATTTAAGCCGTTTATAATGATAATCAAAATTTTTACATTTTTGCTTATATACCTGTGCACAGCTTTTTATAATGCACACCGCCTAATTACTGAACTTGTAGTTCACCTAATGCGGCCTAATCAGGCTTTAAGTACAATATTTTTAAATACTCATGAAAATTTATATTAAAGTATTTCCCGCATTTCTACCCACCGTGTCTCCATATACTGTACAATGTAGTTGGGTTTAAAACCGGTTTTAACTTGTTTAGATTGAACCCGGGCTCCCAAGATTTGATTAATTGTAAACCTCAGGCCTAGATCCTACACTATTATTTTAATTGAATAAATGTGCTTTAATAGAGATTATATTGTTTAGTTTTTTTACACTAATGGTTAAGACGATAGAGCTAAGTTTTAATAATGGATTATAAGGGACTGCCTGGTAATTATCAAGTTCCCCTTCAGTTAGATTCACAAACGTTGACCTGGTTACTTTTGTTTGTTCAAAAAACAGTATTTTCCACAAGATTATAATGCAAGGAAAGTTATTTGCGGTTGTGTATACTCTACGTACATATTGAAACCAGTTCTCTCTGGGCGGAATTTGTAAACCAGAATGTGTTAGTATCCGANTACTTTTCCGTCAAAGACTGTACACTACAGTACAAAAAATGCGTACACCTCTGAAATAACTTTCCTTGCATTAGTACCTTGATTATCCAGCTGAAAATTAATCAGATTTATTTGTGACTAGTCGATTTATGGAATATTTAAATAAGGGGATAATGATCGCTCTGATGGATTAAAGGACCAATGATTTTAAGGAGGAAAGGACCAATGATCACTCTGAAGGAATGAAGGGCCAATGATCGCTCTGGAGTATTAAAGGGCTTATGATCACTCTGAAGGATTAAAGGGCCAATTATCGCTCTGAAGGGTCAATGATCACTCTGAAGGATTAAAGGACCAATGATCACTCTGAAGGATTAAAGGGCCAATGATAGCTCTGAAGGATTAAAGGACCTATGATCACTCTGAAGGATAAAAGGCGTAAGATCACTCTGAAGGATTAAAAGACCAATGAAAGCTCTGAAGGATTGAAGGGCCAATGATAGCTCTGAAGGGTTATAGGACCAATGATCACTCCGAAGGTTAATCCTTCGGAGTGATCATTGGTCCTATAACCCTTCAGAGCTATGAACTATGATCACTCTGAAGGATTAAAGGGCTTATGACCACTCTGAAGGATTAAAGGACCAATGATCACTCGTGAAGGATTGAAGGGCGAATGATCACTCTGAAGGATTGAATGACCAATGATCACTCTGAAGGATTAAAGGGCCAATGATCACTCTAAAGGATTAAAGGACCAATGATCGCTCTGAAGGATTAAGGGGCTTATGACCACTCTGAAATATTAAAGGGCCAATGATCGCTCTGAAGGATTAAAGGACCAATGATTTTAAGGATTAAAGGACCAATGATCACTCTGAAGGATTGAAGGGCCAATGATCGCTTTGGAGGATTATAGGGCTTATGATCACTGAAGGATTAGAGGACCAATGATCACTTTGAAGGATTATAGGGCCAATGATCACTCTGAAGGATTGAAGGGCCAATGATCGCTTTGAAGGATTAAAGGGCCAATTATCGCTTTGATGAATTTAAGGGCCAATGATCACTCTGCAGGATTGAAGGGCCAATGATCGCTCTGAAGGATTAAAGGACCAATGCTCACTCTGAAGGATTGAAGGGCCAATGATCACTCTGAAGGATTTGAGAATCAATGATCACTTTGAAGGATTATAGGGCCAATGATTCCTCTGAAGGATTAAAGGGCCAATGATCGCTCTGAAGGATTAAAGGACCAATGATTTGAAGGAATAAAGGACCAATGATCACGTGAAGGATTGAAGGGCCAATGATCACTCTGAAGGATTAAGGGCTAATGATCGCTCTGAAAGATTCAAGGACCCATGATCGCTCTGAAGGATTAAAGATCTTGTAAATATTGTATATCAAGGTTAGAGACAATGAAGAGACGAAGTAAGTCTTTATAATTGATATAAAGGCACTGTAATTTTAAGTTAATGATTCCCAATGTTAACTTTTGTCAGAGCAAAGCATGATTAAGGTATTCTTGTGTTTCCAGCTAAAAATTGATTTATTTTTTGTAGTTTCCGTGTCTAGCTATTAGTCGATTTATGCAAGATGCAAAAAAGTGATTAGAAGGGTCGTAGTTTACAGGGCATACGATTCTTTTATTATGAGTTTTGAATTTTAAAAGGACTTGGTGCGTAATTTCAAGTGACTTTCCATCTTTGATTCACAAGAATGAAGAGTCGCCTGAAATTACGCTAACGGTAGAAGAGTGAACACGTGACTAGAAGTACCCTTTAAAGATTTACTAATCAACCATTATTATTCTAAATCAAAAAGTTTACAAGAGGAAAAACGGAGATAATTTCTATTAAGAAATATGTTCCTAAACATTAAATTAGTCGGTAAAACTAATTTTTTTAGATGTTATTTAAGGAATGTAAAAAACGTTTTTTCTGCAGCTGACTGACACAACTGGTGAAATATTACAAACCACTCTTTACACTCTTCCCTTTCAAAGCAAAGACTTCTGTCCATTGATCAGATCTGAAAATATTCTTGAATTAATCTGAAAATTTACTATATTATTTGCATTAGTTTTAGTATTTCTTATTCATTTTACAGAACTATAAACATTTTACCAAGACAGAGTTAAATGACATGTAAAACCTAGGATGATCATTTTAGGAAAGTAATGGAGTCTTTTTTGAGTGTATTGGGGTGAAGGGGTTGATGAGCCAGTTGTGAGCCATGAAGAGCCAGGAGCTGCCGACCATAGTAGTGTTGATTGGGATGTCTTGTTCGACCGGATCCTGTCCGCTATTAGGACTGAGTCCTATAAGTCGTTGTACTTTTTAGTCATAGTTTTTATTTTATTCATTTTACAGAAAACCGGGTCAAGAGAGAAAATGTTTTCTAAATTGTTTAGTTTTAACATTTGCTTTTTTTACAATATGTCATTTTTGACCCTGATAGAAAAATATACAGTGAAACCCTTAATCACGAATACATTGACAATTTTTCAATGAGTTTTATACTATATTACGTAAAAATAAATAAATATCCATGAATATGTGGGAACAGTTTTAAAGAGTTCAATATAATCATTTAATTAAAAAACTAAATATTTGCAACATTCCATTATCAGAAAGGGAAGAATACGACATTTGATGAATTCTTTTGATGTATTCGTTATTAAGGGTTTCACTATACAAAAAAACGTTCGGTTTTTTTACAAAAGAAATATTGCAGCAAAGTTTTATTAAAAGAAAACTTCAACAGAAAACAGTTTTGAGATATAGGCAGTTTTTAAAAAGTTGTTAAAAAACTTACATCAACGACTAACAACACTAGATGCAAAATGCTAAATTCTTAACAACATTTAATAATGAAATTCGAATTCCACTGATTTCTGGATCCCACTTTGTATATGTAGGTTTTACATGAATTTATAAAAAGCTGTATTTTTGCACGAAATAAAATTTTGATATTATTATTTCATGTTAGAAGGTTGAATATAGAATAATTGGGTCAATCTAATAAAATAATGCAAGGGCGTTGTGTGGAGGGGAGGGAGGGGGAGGGGGGCAGAATTGAAAGCTTTTATTCCACATTAAAGGGACAGTACGCATAATTTAAAGTGATCCTCTATGCAAAGATAGCAATGCCCGATTTACAATGGTACCCTTGGAAGCTTTGTCTAATTAGGTATGAATTAGATATCCATGTTTTGTTTCTTCAAACTGTTTGTTCTTATTTGCGGTTTCTCTGCAAAAGTGCGCTTGCACATTTATTGTTTATGAAAAGCAATGAAGAACTTATGCGAATTAAACACGACGATAGCTTCCACATTTTCGATCAGATAAAGGTTCAAGGGTACCCTTGTAAATCGGGCATTGCAATCTTTTTTTGCAATGTTTTTCAAAGATGGACGAATGTAATAATGATTTATTAAAGATTAAAACGATAGTTTCAAAAAATTAATTAATGAATGAATGAATGAATGAAAGGGTGAATAGGTGAAAGGAGGAAAGGATAAATTTAGTTAAATAGTGAATGAAAGAATTTTTTTAGATTATGGTAATAACCAGAAAAATGTGGAATATGAAGACGACATTTGAATAATAATTAACCGTATTTGATTTGGTAAAATAAATAAATAAATAAAAGATCAACCACCATTCCGTGGAAATCAAGGCCCCATCAAAAATAACCACCAAAGGACGGAAAGAAAATCGTATTATAGCTTGCAAGAAATATATATAGACCAGGAACCGCCATATCTGATGCGTCAAATCTGTGCACTGCAGTGGGAGGAGATCAAAACAAAGAATTCAGGGACAACGCATCATTTTTGAGGGAAAAGGGCCCAAGGGGTGGAATAGGTTAGGTTGTATTTTTCCATATGGACCAAAAAGCCAAAAATCATAAGTATTCGCTCTAACTTGATATATTAACTTGTTTTTGTTGGGCTGTAATATCACATCAGAGCTGTAATCCTTTCTTTCAACTTCTGTGGGGGCACTGGGTTTGTTTACATTCCTCCCACAGTGTACAGTACACAATATGCGTATATCTTAGTTGGGCGTTCCTGAATACAGTTCCTTGATAGCTTGGAAATCAACTGATCAAATGAAATGGGTCTGTTTACAGTGCACAATACCTGTGTTTCAAGTTTATTCGACTAAATATAAAGTCGTAAATTAAGTCTTAAAGTCGTCTTCCATATTTTCTGGATCTTACTTAATTGTACAACCATGGATATATAATAAAATGGATAGCTCATGGACGAGTTTTGATGTAATTTTCTGGGTGGGGTGTTATGCAGTACATTGGAGTTCTAGCAGACAATGGACCCTGGACTATCTTTTGCATAATTCCTTTCTTATTTAGCCAAACAGTTATATTCCACTCTATTCCTAAAATTAATGAGGATTTTCATATTACTCCTTTTAATCTCTGTTTAAATTGGTAAATTTTCAAAGTTAATAAATTTTGACATTTTTATGGTCAACATTTTTTCAACTTCGCCCAGCAATAAACCTGCCCTGTGACGTCAATGGAGTTGCCTCAAAAATGATGTTAAGTCGATTTTACGTTTAATGTATACAAACATTCCTTATCTCTGAATATATGTATATCTAGAGTAAAGTTCGGAATTTGAATGCTGTTAAACAAATTTTTGCAGAATTTTTTTTTCTTTAAATCTTGAAACATTTGATACAATTTTAAGTGGATCCAACCATATTTAAACCACGGTTTAAATTTAAACCGCCGCTCAAATTCTTTAAATTCGGCCAAGGGATAACCAGAAAAAAAACTCTGAAATAGGAAGACGACTTTCAGACTCATTTTATGACTTTTAAAAGTCCAATGAGCATGGGACACAGAAATTGTGATTTATTTTAAGTTTCTATACAGTGAATCCCAGATATATGAATACATAGCAAGAGTTTTTATAATGTTGTATTACATATTTAAGATCAAATGCCGCGTAAAAATGAGTTTAATATAGCCCTGAAATATGAATGCAATTGATATATTAATATTAAACTCATTTTTCTGCGGCATTTAATCTTAGATATGTAATACGACATTATAAAAACTATTGCTATGTATTCATATATCTGGGATTCACTGTAGTAACAGACATAATTGTGGACGATTCACACATGGTAGACTTCAAACCTTCATCTGAGCAACCATGAAAAGATATCGTTGTTTTTCTATCTAATGTAGTGCTGAATTCTGTATATGTTCTTTCTTATCTCCGTGCCATAAATCCACAAGAACCCACATGAGTAAATTATCAACTTTTATATAAGAGAACATGAATATCTTCGTCATTTTATTCAGCCGAAGGTTTAAAGGATACAGTTGTGATTTGGATATAGCTACAGTCCTGTTAATACCTGAGCCCGGTTGGAGAAAATGGATGGATTTCTGAACTGGCTAATATACACAGGTATAGGAGATTTGCATTGTAACAACATCTAACCTAAAGTATTGCTATAAAGTCGTCTTCCTATTTCAGAGTTTTCTAGTTATCACTGTAGAGTTCAAATTTATCATAATGTTTCTCCGATACAAGAAAAGGTTGACACCACTCTCCACTAAACGCTACTCTATCTTCGGTCAGTTTACTGCAAAGTACAACAATACGCTCCGAAAGCTTAGTTGACTTTAACACCACATTCCTGGCAGAACCTGTGAAGGGGTGGGTGATTTAATCCCCCCCCTAGATTTATTTCTATTATATATAACCTAAATGTGCAGTCGTTTAAAACCAAAAATATCTAATACGACACTTTTTTATGTCTCCCTTCAACTGGCATAAAGTTTAATCAAGGTTTCTCTTATCAAAAAATAAGAAATATTTTTTTCGCTTAATATGTTTCCCATTTCTAGGGCTTTTAACTCAAATTCGAAATTGTAATTTAAAATTATGGTTTATTCTTAAACTCTAAAACATATCATAGTTCATTCTTAAACTCTAAAACATATTATAGTTCATTCTTAAACTCTAAAACATATTATAGTTCATTCTTAAACTCTAAAACATATAGTTTATTCTTAAACTCTAAAACAACATAGTTCATTCTTAAACCCTAAACATATTATAGTTCATTCTTAAACTCTGAACCATATTATAGTTCATTCTTAAACTCTAAACCATATTATAGTTCATTCTTAAACTCTAAACCATATTATAGTTCATTCTTAAACTCTAAACCATATTATAGTTCATTCTTAAACTCTAAAACATATTATAGTTTATTCTTAAACTCTAAAACATATTATAGTTCATTCTTAAACTCTAAAAACTCTGTGATTTAACAAAATTGTCCGTAAAATGTTTTTGATCAGCTAAACATTGTTAACCATCCAATTTGCTAGCTGTGGGTTAACCCTATAAAGGCTGGGGATCTGAATCTATGTATAATCTAGGGGGCGTCCCAGGCCCCCCCCCCTAGAAAAATGCCTTATAGAATATGTATAGGGTTGAAATGCATGTTCATAGCTCAATTTTTCAAATTAGACCGATAACTTTTATAGTTTGGGTGCTATGGAGGGTTGAAAAAAAGGTCAAAAAAACGTAAAAAATATTATTTTGTTTTAGACAAATATCAAAATGTGACACATGTTTCTACATCCATCAAGGGCTTTAAAAAAAATAGTTCTTAGATCTGTAGCTTTAGTTACACGACAGTTACACGACAGTTACGCGACAGTTACACGACAGTTACACGACAGTTACACGACAGTTACACGACAGTTACGGGCTATTTTAGACTTTTTTGTTACACATTCCAGACTTTTTACCGTTCTGTATCCTACCCAATGCATAAAAAAAGTTTTTTTTTACAATTTCTATTTATTAAAAGAAAAAAATTCACGGTGATAGTGTCAAAAATTAGAGCGCTAGGGCAAAAAACAACTAGAGAGGAGGGGGGGCGCGAACCCCCCCCCCCCCCAGCCTGCTTAGGATTAAGGCATTTTTTAAACCATCCAAATTTATTTTAATGTATTTTTTAACCAATGCTACATAACTGTATAACAATCCTAGCTTGGGAACCCAACTTTCCCTGGAGTTTTCCCTACAAGCCGATCTACTTCATTTATAATTTAAAAACCAAATTGAGAAGATTCCCGTGGTTCTACCGAGTTCTTTAATCAAAATTTGAGGCAAATTGGTCCAGAGGTTCATAATTTATGATCGTACATATACAAACAGGGATTACTACTTTATACATACATACATACATATATTTACATGAAATTTGTATTTCTTAGATATGTATTGGGGAGGGGGGCGGGTATTGATTAGACGAAATAATAGAATTTTAAACCTTTTTAATGGAAAACCCTATTAACTTGTACTTTTTCATTCATATTTTTATTCAACTACAAAGCACGAGATAATACAAATAAAATCCACTCAAATACATTTTGATATATATTTTTATGTTTAATTTTTTTACACCTTTAAGAAATAAACAAACATTTACTGATAAAGAAAATCCTATAGTTTTACTGCTCATATATATACTCAGTCTAAACATGATTTCCAAGATAGCATAAAGCTATGAACGAACTTAAAAAGTACTTCACCTTTGGAGGGGGTGAAACCCGAGAGTTAACCTGTTTCAAAGCTGCTGATAGGTTTGTGAAGAATGATCTATCCAAGAACGTGGAATCAGAGAATGTACGGTTCCCGGAGCATATAATCCGGCTTGGGACTACCCCTGAGGGTCCTAAACTGTCGCCACAAGAGCTAAAAGCTATGGCTGACAACATGACTGATCCAAAAGAAAAAGGAAACTTAAAACAATGGATCGGACATCGTAGAGGAGCTGAATGTGAGAGATTAGTTTGGGATTATCTGATGAGAACCCCGGAGAGTGTACGGTCTTCCCTTTTCTATGGATTTAAGAGAGAGATGTTTCTCCGGTTTACTACGAACGACCCCACGCACAACAAACAAAAGGAATATGATTTTATTCTCATGCTTCCTGAGTACAAGCTGATGCTCTTCTTAGAGGTTAAAGCAGATCCCGGAGGAAACTCTAAATCATGGGAAGAGCAAATGAGGAAAGCTAAAAATGACCTGTTCAAAGAGCTTCTGGAGTATGTGGGGGAAGACACGAACACTACTGAGTGGACTTTTCTTCCTGTGGGAGTTTATCCTTATGTGTCTAAGCAGGTATTTGTCAATGAATGTATTTTATGTTTAACTTTCAAAGATTATTTTCTAATCCCTGCATTATTCGGTTTAAATATCAATCATTCTTTATCTTTAGTTTTTTATCATCATTCATAATTTTTATCTTTAAAGAAGAGGGAGCATTGAAGCCATGTTTTAACCATAAACTTTTGTTTTAATGAATAACATGACAGTCTAATGTTAAAAAAATTAGGTGTGATTTCTATTTTTAAGTGCGAGGTCAACAAGTTTAAAGTCACAGAGCTGAAGAAGCACTTCTGTTCATGGACATGTTATGATGAAAAGTTTTTTAAAATATTCAAATGATAAGTCTAACGTTAAAAAAATGGTTTGTGAATGATATGGTCATAAAAAGCCACATGTTTATACAGACTTTAAATTTCAATACACTCTTAGAAATGTCAAATTTTCATCTGAAAGATTTGTTGGAGCACTTGATCCGAATTCAACTTAGTCGCACAATTATGAATAATTAGTTTTATTTAACAAAATTTGACGAATAATGCCACCAAGTTGAATTTGGCTCTGAGCTCAAACAAAGTTTGAGCAATAAAAATATTACATTTTTTAGAGTGTTGACTTTGTGTTAAGTTAAACTATCAGAAAGATGTAATTTATAAAAAAAAGTTTTATAACTTCTCTCTAAATAATACTGCAGGGCTGGACACGTTCAAACTTTTTTAACCTGTTTGTTATTGATTTTAAAATTATCGGTTTTTGCCGTTAGTCAACTTTTATCGACTATTATCAACTATTATCAACTATTATCAACTATTATCGACTAGTCTAAATAATAAATAACGAATGAAAATATTGTTCTTATAGAGGTCGGAGGACGGACTCTATTGAAACTCGGGTAGACTCATTCCAGTAATATATATTTCTTTAAAGAACAACTTTGTATATCATAATCTAATCGATCACACGAGACTAAATGAGAATGCCGCGTTCTTCATCTGTGGCTGGGGCTGAAGTCCAAACATGGGAGAGGAGTGGGTGGGAAAGCTTCACTTCATGATTCGAGTGAATGCCGCGGTCATTTAAAAGGTATGAGTAGGGGGTGATGAATTTTGTAGATATAAAATAAACTATTTCAGTGGGATGCCTGCGTAGAGACTAACAGCTGTTATGACAGCTTTTGATACGAGTGTGCGTTTTTATCATTTTTAGGGCTAAAATAGGTACTTTTTTCACTTTTTAAGTTTTAAGTAATATTTCTTAGAGACTGACAGCTGTTATGACAGCTTTTGATACGANAAAAGATCAACCACCATTCCGTGGAAATCAAGGCCCCATCAAAAATAACCACCAAAGGACGGAAAGAAAATCGTATTATAGCTTGCAAGAAATATATATAGACCAGGAACCGCCATATCTGATGCGTCAAATCTGTGTACTGCAGTGGGAGGAGATCAAAACAAAGAATTCAGGGACAACGCATCATTTTTGAGGGAAAAGGGCCCAAGGGGTGGAATAGGTTAGGTTGTATTTTTCCATATGGACCAAAAAGCCAAAAATCATAAGTATTCGCTCTAACTTGATATATTAACTTGTTTTTGTTGGGCTGTAATATCACATCAGAGCTGTAATCCTTTCTTTCAACTTCTGTGGGGGCACTGGGTTTGTTTACATTCCTCCCACAGTGTACAGTACACAATATGCGTATATCTTATTTGGGCGTTCCTGAATACAGTTCCTTGATAGCTTGGAAATCAACTGATCAAATGAAATGGGTCTGTTTACAGTGCACAATACCTGTGTTTCAAGTTTATTCGACTAAATATAAAGTCGTAAATTAAGTCTTAAAGTCGTCTTCCATATTTTCTGGATCTTACTGTAGAATTTATAGTAGATTAATTGTAAAACCATGGATATATAATAAAATGGATAGTTCATAGACGAGTTTCGATGTAATTTTCTGGGTGGGGTGTTATGCAGTACATTGGAGTTCTAGCAGACAATGAACCCTGGACTATCTTTTGCATAATTCCTTTCTTATTCAGCCAAACAGTTATATTCCACTCTCTTCCTAAAATTAATGAGGATTTCCCAATTACTCCTTTTAATCTCTGTTTAAATTGTTAAATTTTCAAAGTTAATAATTTCGACATTTTTTATGGTCAGCATTTTTTCAACTTCCAGCTTCCCTATGAGTTATGACGTCATTGGAGTTGCCTCAAAAATGTTGGGTTTGATAGGTTTAGTCGGTTTTACGTTTAATGTATGCAAACATTCCTTATCTCTGAATATATATATCTAGAGTAAACTTCGGAATTTGAATGCTGTTTAAGATTTTTTCGCAGAATTTTTTTTTTTGGGGGGGGGGGATCAAGCCCGTCGACGTCCATATCCCCCCCCCCAGAAAATCAATATTTAAAGAATGCATACCTTGACCTTTTTTCAGATTTCTTGTGGAGGAAATTTTTCTTATAATTCCAAAATGAAATAATATATAATTCCAACTCTATTGTTTATCTGTGTAAATACCAGCAGAAATATCATCCTTCATGTTTATATTTATATTTGTTTCTAATGCATTGACACATCATGAGACACAAATTAGTGGATTAGACATCTGCGTATGCAGGGGGGGGGGCTATTGGGGCTAAGCACCCCCCTGGAGAAGGGAAACCTAAGATTTTCAGGGGCTGTGCCGTCCCCCCTCATTCCGGCCCCGGAATAATGAAAAAATATTAAGCTCCCTGATATATCTTTTCCCCCCTTTAGATCAGATAATCTACAGGTTTCACAAATGTGTCCTATTTGTCCTATTTGTCTTCTTTGTCCTCTTTATCCTCTTTTTCCTCTTTTTCCTCTTTTTCCTCTTTGTCCTCTTTGTCCAGCTGTCAGTCTCTACGCAGGCATCCCACCGAAATAATTTATTTTATGTCTACAAAATTCATCCCCCCTTACTTATATTTTCAATAGACCGCGGCATTCTGTCGAATCAGCTTGAATCAGCTGTGAATTATGAAGTGAAGCTTTCCCACCCTCTCCTCTCCCATGTTTGGACTTCAGCCCCAGCCTTCATCTGTTGTGGAACTCTGTTTTGGAGGTCGAAACATCGTCTTCCACATTCTAAACGTAAACTTACATTGTAACAAAAAAACAGTAACAAACATGCAATTCTTCCAATTCAAATGTTTTAGAACGTCTCCATGATATTTTAGTTTAAGAAAAGACTGATAAATATTTCGGGAAAAAATTAATTGGGTTTCATTCCAAATATAAAAGTTCAAAAGTGTTGTAAACTAAGACTCTTTAACCCTAAGCAGATTTGGGGGGTATGTCCCCCCGATCCCTAAGGTTTGCTGCGAACGAAACGTTTTGAGAAAAAATGCGAAAATACGAAAATTTTCGTTCCCATTTTGCAAACTTTTTCGAGAAATTTCGCATTTTGTCCCGAAAATGAATGAAGCGAAAAAATTCGTAAAATATGCGAAAATTTTTAGAAAATATTTTCGGGAAAAAAAAATTCCACGAAAACCATTAGTGTTATAGCTGCAACAATTAATTGCACACAAAAAACTTCTCTGCTCTGATAGCTCAATATTTGAAGTTTTACTATGTCATATTAATAATTTCTTTTCCTTTACTTTAATAAATGTTTGATGAAGAAAATTTAATTTCTCTAGCTATCTTTTTAATTTTCTGTCCATCCACATACGTTCACCCATGACTATGAGCCAGCAAGTTCAAAATTCCATATATGTTCGCGAAATTTTCGTGTTTTTTCGCACAATTTCCGTTAATTTTTAAGAATATTTTAAGAAAATAAGAAACTTTTAGAAGAATGAATCATATTAAAAATTTAAAAAGGCTAATACAAAAAATTTCTTGCCAAACATCTAAGGTTTTCTAGTATTACGTGCGTATTTTGGCGTTAAAGCTTGGAGATGATCTAATATGATATGGGACGCTCTGTATTACAGAAATGTAAGCACAATTTTAAGTGACCCTGCATGTAAAGATGACAAATTCCGATTCAAAACAGTACCTTTATCAACAATGTGGGAGATATTATTGTTTTTCTAGGTTTAACAGTATTTAATACTAATAATTTCTACAGTATTTAATACTAATAATTTCAACAGTATTTAATACTAATAATTTCTATTTAGGAATAAAAAGAATTGCAAATCACTTTTGCAGAGAAACTACAATTTAACAGTTTTCAAAATTTTAACGTGGANATGATGATGATGATGATGATGATGATGATGATGATGATGATGATGATGATGATGATGATGATGATGATGATGATGATGATGATGATGATGATGATGATGATGATGATGATGATGATGATGATGATGATGATGATGATGATGATGATGATGATGATGATGATGATGATGATGATGATGATGATGATGATGATGATGATGATGATGATGATGATGATGATGATGATGATGATGATGATGATGATGATGATGATGATGATGATGATGATGATGATGATGATGATGATGATGATGATGATGATGATGATGATGATGATGATGATGATGATGATGATGATGATGATGATGATGATGATGATGATGATGATGATGATGATGATGATGATGATGATGATGATGATGATGATGATGATGATGATGATGATGATGATGATGATGATGATGATGATGATGATGATGATGATGATGATGATGATGATGATGATGATGATGATGATGATGATGATGATGATGATGATGATGATGATGATGATGATGATGATGATGATGCTTTTAAACTTACATTTAAATATATGAATAACATGAAAGTTAGATGACAACATTTTGATGATGATGATGATGATGATGATGATGTTGATAATGATGATGATGATGTAGATTATGATGATGATGATGAAATAAAATGTATTTTCTATTTATAAATTTGGATCAGAATAGAATAGAAATTTTTTTTAACATTTTCGGAAGAAAAAACTATTTTCACAAAAAATCAGT